GATCCACTCCTCCAAGAAACACTTCCTGATCCTGTGGGGTCTGTACCATCTCTGCCTTCCTCAGACCAGGAGTCCTTGGGGGCTGAGGCCTGAGGGTGGGGACACAGGATGATGCAAGCCCCTGGTTGGGTAGCTCCTGGGACCAACAGGTGGGTGGACAGGTTATTGGATGGGTACACGGATGGTGGGCATGCATCTTTGGCCCAGTGAGTGGTGAATCGTTAGGTGAGACCTGGATAGATAGGATCTGGGACTTTGAACGATGAGTAGGAAGTGGGTGGGTGGGGGCTCATGGGATGGAGACACATAGGCGAGCCCTCGCCATCGTGCCTACAGAGCAGCAACAAGATTGCCCTCCGGACCACAGCCCTGGAGAACACATCCATCAAGGTGGGCCCCGCCCGGAAGAATGTAGCCAAGGGCCGCATGGCACGCAGGAGCAAGCGGAGCCGCCGACGGGAGACACAGGACCGGTGAGCAGCCAGGGAGTGTGGAAGGGGGATCTTTATCAGCTGGGGTCGGGGGCTGCTAGGGGCAGGGGTCCTGAAGCACCCTGGGTTCTCACCCACAGACGGAAGTCACTCTTTAAGAAGATCTCAAAACAGTCGTCAGTGCTACACACCAGCCGCAGCTTTTCCTCCGGCCTCCACCACTCCCTGTCATCCAGTGAGAGCCTCCCAGGCTCTCCCACCCACAGCCTCTCCCCCAGCCCCACCACACCCTGCCGCAGCCCAGCTCCTGATGCCCCAGCAGGTGGGTGCACCTATGGCTGCCTGGGGAGGGAGCAGGCAGACGGGAGGATAGAATGACACTATGTAAGAAACAGATGACTGGAAGGGCTTTTCCAGTTGTCTGGAGTCTAAGAGGCATCCTGGGGGTGGGCAGAGACAGGTACAGGGTAAGGGAAGGGATGGGTATGCCCAACAGAGGGAACATCATGAGCAAAGGGTTCTAGACAGGAGGGATGTGAAAGCTGCAGGGGAGGCTGAAGAGGGGCCATTGGGGGATGGATCAAGCCCAAGAGCTGAGATTAAAGTGAGGGGGAGGGGGCAGTGGGGAGCTATGGAAGTTGTGTGAGCTAGAGAAGCCACGGAATGATTGTTCTGGGTCAGGAAAGGATGGTGACTTGGTCTGCCACTGAGGTCCCCCAGTCTGTGAGAGACAGGCTGGGGCAACCCAGAGGAGAGGTAGGGAAGGCCTCTTGGAGGAGGACCACAGGGCTACTCCTCCAGGAAGCCCTCCCTCTTCCCTGGGGACCCCAACTGCTGTCTCCTTCTGGCCCACCCTGACTTTGTGAGACTGGGGGTATCTGTGCCATCTCTGCCTTCCTCACACCAGGTATCTGCTGGGACTGAGGCCTGGGTGTGGGGAGGTGAGCTCAGGTGAAGAGGCAGGGCCCTTGTCAGATAACTTTGGGGACCTGTGAATGGATGACTCATTGGATGGAAGGATAGACTGTGAATGAGTATCTTTGGCCCAATGAGTGGTGGATCACTAGGTAAGAAGTGGGTGAATAAAAGCTAGGGCTTTGATGGATGAATAGGAGTTTACCACATCTAAGCCAAGGGAACAGCCTGTACAAACAACAGGAAGCAAGAAAAGCAGGCATGATAGGTGGCCACATGGAACAACGTGGGCTTTGACAGGTGCAGTCAGTCCCAAGGCCCCACTTCAAGGTGGGGGACATGAGGCTGGTGGCCCTGACCTTCACCTGTCACCCACAGACACTGCATCCCCACCCAGTGCATCTCCGAACTCCAGCAGCCCTGCCTCTCCAGCCACTGCTGGCCACACCCGCCCCAGTTCCCTGCATGGCCTGGCCGCCAAGCTAGGGCCACCCCGCCCCAAGGCTGGCCGCCGTAAGTCCACCAGCAGCATCCCACCCTCCCCGCTGGCCTGCCCACCCGTGCCTGCACCCCCACCCCGCTCGCCCTCGCCCCTGCCGGGGCACTCACCCACACCTGCCCGGTCCCCATGTTTGCGCCGGGGCCAATCAGCTGACAAGCTGGGTGCAGGTGAGCGGCTAGATGGGGAGCCAGGTCGTCGCAGCCGCGGGCCGGACTCTGAGCTGGTGGTCATGCGACGGCTGCATCTGTCCGAGCGCCGAGACTCCTTCAAGAAGCAGGAGGCTGTACAGGAGGTGAGCTTTGATGAGCCGCCAGAAGAGGCCACCGGGTCACCTGCTGTGGTGCCGCAGATTGCAGTGGAGGGTGCCGAGGCTATACCTGGAGCCCAGGGACCCGCAGTGAAGGACTGATCCCTCCCACCTGGCCTCCCCCTGGCCTGGAAGTCATGTGTTTTTTTGTGTGTGCAAGGTTTTTCAAGTCAAGTGGTACCTGGATGGAGACTGAGTAACCAGCTTGTGTCACCCAGAAGGCAGGAAGCCATCATGATCCTAGCTGGAAGGTGAAGTTAAGCGCCTCCCTTGTGTTCTGGTACTGATCAGTCGGGGGCTGTAAGGCAGGAATGGGAGGTGATGGTGGCACTGTAAATAGCAAATCCCTGCAACTAATTTATTACTTTTTATAAGCAATGACCAGACAGAGCTGCCCCTGTGACAGCAGCTGCCTGGGTCCTGCCCCATGCAGACTCTGTCCCCAAGGCTCAGAAGGAAGCACTTTGGACAAGTCACATGTGTTTGTGTTTTCTTGTTTTTCTGTACTTTTCATTTTTTGTATGTTACTTGATCCCATCCTTCACCCAAGATCCACCGATTTGAGGAGTTGCAGCCCAGCTCAGTTGTCTGGGCCCAGTTTGGATGTGACCTGGAGAGGCTGTAATAGATTCCCCTCCACCACAAAACAAAGTCATCTTCATGATGGACTGGATTCTAAAGGCTGCTTCCCACCATGGTAGCCTCCATCCATAGGCCAACCTGGCTAGAGTCTGCCTCCAGTCCTGTGGGCTTAGGGGATATGGAAACTGGGGCTTTGATAGATGAATAGGAGTTTACCAGATCTAGGCAAAGGGTCACCCACTCCACAGGGTGACATTAATGCCCCAGGGGGCAGAGGCCTCAAAGGGCACTGCCAGGGCAAGAGAAGAATGTCCACCTTGGACAAGATTTCACGTTTGATGCCCACTAGGGTTAGCTATGGACCATGATGTGTCTGAAACAGCCCCTGGGGGTTCCCTCAATATGTCAGAGCCTCCCTGGGATGAAATTCAAGTGAGAAAGCCCAACGGGGTGGGGGGGGGCAGTGAGGCCCAAGTTTAAATCTTGGCTTCACTGTTTGGCTCTGGGAAAATGTCTCTCCCACTCTGTGCCTGAGTTTCCTGTGTTTACAAAACTAATTCCAATGACTATTAAGCACTTACTGTGTGCCAAGCACTTTTACTTGTGGCTTCTCCCTCGGCCAGCCTTGAGAAGGCTGGAGGTGGTGTCGTCACCCCCATTTTACAAACAAATAACTAAGACCTGGTGGGGGTGGAGGCTTGTCCCACCGTCGCCTGGTGAGAGTCATGCAGCCAGGCTTTGTTGTGGGCCTTGTTGTCGAGGGAACTTGAATGCAGAGTCTGATATCATATACAGCCAACTCCAGCCAGCCTGTGATGTTATGTGAAGCACAGGGGTATCTCAGAGCCTCCGTTTCCTATTTAGAGGTGGCTGGCAAGATTGCTGTGCCTCACATGGTAATGGCACTTTACAAATACTGCAGCCCAATCTGTGTCCCCCCGGCCCAGCATTGCCTGGTGTTGGAGCTAGACCAAGGCTATGCATGACTTGCTCCCTTCTTCCATCCCGGAGCTGACAGTGAATAAAACCCACATTGACAAAGAGGAGGTCCAGTGTCTGGATTTGTGAAGGGACAAAAAAGAGTAAGGAAAGAGTGAGGGGAGCGGGGTGAAAACAGACCCTTGGCTCAAAGTCATTTGAAATGGGTTTTAAAGGCTGCTAGGAGTTCATCACTGAGATTCTCCCTGATGCTTTCTCTGGTCCTGGCCTCCCGCTGCCTTCTGTCTGTGACTACCCATCCTTGGCTCTACCCTTAAAAGCTTAATCCAGACACCCGTCTGGGGCTCTGGGCTGTGTTAATAAAAAATTGATAAACCATTTTTGTGTCTTTTCTATGCCCGCTTGGGCTGTGTCCTAAAAGTTCCCTCTAGTCCCCACCCGAACCCAGCCCAGCCCGAGTGCTCGGTTATTTCCAGACTTCTCTTTAGTGTCAGAAAACTTTGGCCACGCCCCTATTTCTGAGTGTCTTCGACTATTTCCGGAAACAGGCGTCTGGATCTGGTCCAGTGTTGGGCGTGTTTTCGCGGTGGCTGGGCCGGAGTTCTTTCAGCTGCTTCCGGACGCTCAGGGCTGCCATGGAAACATTCAACCCAGGCTCCTTGGCCCTATATTTCTATGGTAGTCTCTTCCTCGATCCGCGGCTTCTTGTTCCCTGAATTAGGGGCCGCCTCACCCGCCCTCTGGAACCGTCCATACTTCGGCAATTTCCGGAGGCTGGCAATTTCCGACTCTGGGTTTGAACTCTTAGGGCCTCATTTGGGACCAAGCACGCTCGGTTCTTTTCACAAACTCGCCTGTCTCGGGGCTCAGCCTCTGTTCCGCCAGTCCTGCTGGAGTACGCTCGGCCATTTCCGGAATCGCTCGGGTGTCTCTAAGCTCAGCGGGGCCCAGCCGACCCCAGCCTCGGGAATCACTTGTCTGACCCGATTGCGCTCGGCTCTTTTCGGAATCGCCCAGGCGTCTCTAAACTCATCGAGCCCAGCCGATCCCAGCCTCAGGAGTCACTCGTCCAGCCCGATTATGCTCGGCTGTTTCCGGAAATGATCGGCTATCTCTGGGACACCCTCTACAGTCCAGTCCCGCGGGGGTACGTGTGGCTCTTTCCGGAAGCATTCAGACGTCCCCAGGCTCCGCCTTGGCCTCGCTTCGTCCTCGCGGCCCGAATACGTTCGGCTATTTCCGCCGGGGGCGGGCCCGGCCGTTCGGAACGGCGGCGGCGGCGGCGGCCGCAGTGGAGCCACCGGTCGGGCTCGGCTCGGCGTGACGGCGGTGGTGGTGGTGGTGGCCACGACCAGGTAGGTTCCTGCCGACCCGCGGGACTGGGGGTGCACGCAAATGCGGGGCGCCTATGCAGAGTGTGGGACCTGGCGGGGGGAGGAGGAGGCCACAGAGAGCTAGAGGCCTCAGTCTCTACCTAGCAGCCGTGCAGACGCCCTGCAAGGTGGGATCGGAATGGGGGACCTCCAGGCAGAAATAAGGAGCTGGAACCGTGCGGCCCGGAATGGAGGGAGGCCCTGCTGGGAGTTGGGTGTCTAGCAGAAATGAGGGGTGCCCAGGCATTGTGTGGGCATAGTGGGGTGCTAGGGTCAGGGGTCATCTGCACTTCCGGTCCCTGGACTGGGCTGCGGGGTCCACGCAGGCCCAAGTGCACGTCTGAACACGCGTGAGCGCGCAGGCCCTGCGTCCAGCCGCCGAGCCCCCGACCAGGCCTGGCTCCGCCACCCCGCCTCTTGGATTGGGGAGTGCTCCGTCCCCAGCTTGAACACCCGGCATGTGCAAACGTGTCCAGGCGGTTTCCTGGACATCTCCTCTCTGGACCTCAGTTTCCCCACCTGTAGAATGTGGAGCCTCTGCTACCTGCTCGGACACCTCCTGAGTCTCCCCGTGGTGTTTCTGGGGGCAGTAAAGCCCCGACCTCAGCCTGGCACTCAAGGCCCTGTGTGGTCAGCTGCTTTCTTAGAGCTGCCCTGAACTCTTGGCAAGTAACTTCCTGCTGTCAAGCCTTTGCATGTGGCCAGTGCACCCTCCTGTCTTTAGTGAGAACCTGCCCTCTACAAAAGCACCCCCCCAACCCCCACCCCAACATCTTCGGAGGACTGAACGTGCAGAGCTGAGACTGGAAATGTGTGTGTGCTGGGCTATGCCTCCCTGAGACTGGGGGCTTTTGGGGGGTGGTCATCACCCTGCAAACAGCAGCCTCCCCCTTGGCAGCTGCACTGCCCTCCTGCCATCCACCCATCACCCTGGGGCTAAGGTCCCCTCGACCTCCTACCAACCCCTTCATGTTCTGAGCAGCTACTGTGGGCCCCCATGCTGAGTCTACCAGGACCCCTGCTCACCCCTCCCCTGCAGAGATCAGAGATCCTTTTGCTTGGACTCACCTCTAGGCTTTTGCCTGTATAGGGGGGTTCTTCCTGGACCTCCTTTCCTACTCCTCTGTGCCCCTGCTGCCTCCTCCTGTGCTCAGCTGGCCCAACTCCTCCTCACGACTCACCCTGAGTATCCGCTATTGCCCTATTTGTTCTGGATGTAACTATCTAGCTGCTGCCTCCTCTCCCATCCTGGGCCTTGAAGTTAAGCAGATCTGCGTTTTTGAGTCCCAGCTTCCTGGCCCGAGAAAGACATCACTGCCCTAAACCTCAGTTTCCCCATCTCTAACAGACCTTGTTTACCACGTGAACATGCAGTATGCCTGGGGCAGGTACCCCAAGAGAGGGCTGTTAGTATACCCACTTTACAGCTGGGGAAACAGACCCAGAGAGGGGCAGACACTGGCCCTAGGTGACCCAGTGAGTCAAGGGATTTCAACCTGGCATCTGTCTCTAAGTTGGGAGTGGGAGAAATCCCACCTGGCTTATGCTGCCCTGCCATCTCCTCCTAGGTCAGCGTCCCCTGCCGAGCATGGTGACAGCCTGTGCCCTCGGCCCCCTCGTCTGGCGCAGCCGGAAGAGCCGCCAGTCTCGGGCGCTGATGGCCCCCTACATAAGGGAGTGAGTGGCCTGGCCTTACCCGGCCCTACGGATTGAGGGGAGACACAGCAACTGAGTGACCAGAGACCACGCTGCTGACCCCCTCCCACCAGTTGACGAATGGTGGATGGAGCAATGAGTGACCCTTTTCAGGGTTGTAGAATAATGGCAGGAAGCAAGGCGTGAGCGTTCCCTGCAACTTCCTGGTGGAAATAGGGGTCTAAGTGCCTCAAGCCAACCCCGTGGACCCTCCCAGCCCCCATCCCAGCTGATGGGGCCACTGGGGCCCTGAGCAGCTGCCTGACCTTCCATAACCACCCCCACCCCCCTCAAGCTCACCATGGCTGGTGCTGAGGGCTTCCAGTACCGTGCACTGTACCCATTCCGCCGGGAGCGGCCAGAAGACCTGGAGCTGCTGCCAGGTGACGTGCTGGTGGTAAGCCGGGCAGCCCTGCAGGTGCTGGGTGTGGCTGAGGGCAACGAGCGCTGCCCGCAGAACGTGGGCTGGATGCCTGGCCTCAATGAACGCACAAGGCAGCGTGGCGACTTTCCGGGCACCTACGTTGAGTTCCTGGGGCCTGTGGCCCTGGTCCGGCCTGGCCCTCGTCCCCGTGGCTCTCGCCCACTGCCTGCCAGGCCCCGAGAGGGGCCCCCCGAGCCAGGTAAGCCGCATACAGTGTTCCTGTGGAGGGTGGGCATGGCCCCCTCAGACCTTCAGTTTCCTCTTCTTTCTAGTGAGGCAGTGGTGCCTCTTCCAGGGGAGGAGGAATAAGGACATTTGGTCACTTGACAAGTGTCAACTGTACTGGCTGTCAAGTGCTGGACGCAGTTCACAGTACTGGGAACATGGGATGGATACAGGCCTGACCCTGCCCTCATGGGCCTTCTGCTTCAAAAGTGACAAGAATGTAATTAGGTGACAACAAAGGCTGTGCAGAAGGAGTTGGGGGTGAAGGACCCCAGGTAGTAGGCCCACCAGGGTAGAGGCTGTCGGGTGGGAATGTAATGGGTTCAGGGAACAGCTGGTGGGCAGGGTGGAGCGAGGAAGGGTAAGCCTACAGAGGCCACACTTTGGAACATCATGGGATTAATTTTGAAGACAATGGGTAGTGTTTGGTAGGATTCAGAGGCTCAATTTAGCTTCATTCTGTGGTTTGCAGACAGGGTCTCTTGAGGCAACCCCTTTATTACCCTGATTTTACCCAGTTTCCAAAATGAAGGGAGCCGTGAAGTTCAGAAATGGTGGGACGCTCAGTCGAGGCCATGCAGCATGGTTCTGTGGAAGGACCCCACACCCTCCCCAAAGACCTTCAGCCATTCCGTCTTCCGAGGGGTGTGTTGGGAGTCAAGACTCCAGGGCACCGAGCATACTTTGAAATTGCTGTATGCTGGGGAGGGGGCATTTGTTCTAGCCAGGGAAACAGAGGCTCGGGTTGTGGGGAAGAAGCTGATAAGTGCTGAGTGCTGGGCGTGGTCTTCAACCTCGCAGCAGCCCAGTGAGGCCCTTGTACAGACAAGGAAACCAAGGTGCAAGGGGGTCAGACCACTCATTCAGGACCACCCAGTGAAGGCCAAGGCCGTGGGAGGCACCAGGGCTCCGACCAATGACCTGCCTGGTTTTGTGCCAGAGAAACACTAATGCCCACAGAGCCCCCCAGCATGGGATGGAATGGGGGAGGCACCAAGGCAGTGTGGTGCTGGCTTGGGCCTTGCAGCATCTGGTGTCTCTAGGGCCTGGGCCTGCCTGCGTCCTGCCTTAGCCTGGAGGAGCAGGAGGCAGCCCCATCTGGGCTCCCCGCCAAAATCTGCTTCTCTCCCTGGTAACAGCCGCCTCCCTCTGCCTGGCCTGGGTCCAGTCTTCACACAACATCCTCACTCAGGGCGGCAGCCCCACCCTCCAAATCTTCAGGACTGGGTGGCATCAGCCAGGGGCCAACACTCTCCAGGCCTCAGTTTCTTCATCTGGAAATGTAGAGGATTAGTCCCTTGGTGCCTTCAGGCCCTGCACCTCCGGGATTCTTGGACTACCAGGGACCATGCTGTAGCTGCCTGCATTTCCTCCATTACACCCTACACAGGGTGCTGAGTACAGCACCCCAGTGTTGCCTGGGCCTCTTCCTGGCTGTCCACCCATGGGGAGGTTGCTCTCTCTATGAGCCTCAGTTCCTGATCCATAAAATAGTGTGACACCTGTTCTGATACAACCTCCCTCCCCGTTTCACAAACTGGTCACAGACAAGTTTCAGAGTCAAGTTTCAGAACCGTGGCTGCCCTACCTCCTCTCCTCTTGTTCTTTCTTTTTTTTTCCTCTCATTTTCAGTGCAATTGGGCCTTTCTCCAGCTTGAGGCACCACCTGGCCCATCACTCAGGGAGGCCCGGCAGGCCCCAGCTTGCTCCTGCTGTGTGCCAGGGCGTCCAGTCGAGGGCCAGAGCCGCATCAAATGTTGACAATGCAGGCAGAGCTTCTGAACACAAAAGGCCTGGTGGAGGGGGCAAACTCAGGGCCTGCATAGGCTGGGCCACGGAGGCCCCGGCACCTCGGGGGAAGGGTTTCAGCATTTTAAAAAGGGGGAAGATAACTTTTTTAAAGTAAAATGACTTAGAAAGTGGAGGAAGTTCCTCGGAGTGAGGTGTTCTGACCTGGACAGGGATATTTTCCTTTTATTCTTTCTCAACCACTTTGTTGTTTCCACTAAGAAGAAAAAGATGATACCAGTTTCTCTTTTGAGGAAACTGAGGCACAGAGAAGACAGGCGCTGTGCCTGAGGTTGCACAGCCAGCAGTGGCAGAGGCTGAAACCTACTGCATGAGTTTCCTGGGGCTGTTGTAACAAACTCCCATAAACCAGGTGGTTTCAAACCATAGGAGTTTATTCTCTCACAGTTCTGGAGGCCAGAGGTCCAAGATCAAGTATCAGCAGGGCTGCACTCCCTCTGGAGGGTCTAGGGGAGGATCCTTTCTGCCTCTTCCCGCTTCTGGTGGCTCCAGGCATCCTAGGCTTGTGTCCACATCACCCAATCTGTATCTCTTTTGTTTCGTGGTTTCTCTTCTTATAAAGACACCAGTCACTGCACTTAGGGCCTTAAATCCAAGATCTCAACTTGAAATCCTTCCCTTAATTATATCTGTGAAGACCCTATTTCCAAATAAGGCCACAGTCACAGGTACCAGGGATTAGGATGTAGACATCGTTTTCCAGGGATACTAATCAACCCACCACACCTGATCTCTGAAGTTGTATGACTGATATCTTAACTCACAAAATTGTTTCCTACTAATTTGGCCTTCCCAGTCCCACCTGCAGGGCTTCTGGCTTCCCCAGGGTGGTGGTTCAGATGCCAGGCCCTTGCCTGAGCTGGACCCTTGCCTGAGATGCAGCAGGCCAAGAGAGGGGCTGGGGTCCTTCCAGGGACCCTACCAACATGTTGTCCCCTCCTGCCAGGCCTCACACTCCCCGACCTGCCTGATCAGTTCTCCCCGCCCGATGTGGCTCCCCCGCTCCTGGTGAAGCTTGTAGAAGCCATTGAGCGGACAGGTGAGCCTTAGCCTGGCTGCAACCCCTGGATTCTGCTTGTTTACCTCTGGTGATGGGCAAGTCATCCCCGCACAGGGCTGCTGGGCTCACTTTTCATGGGAGGAAGCTGAGCCCAGATACTCTGGGCCTCCGTGTTGAAGTGGGGAAGGACTAACTCCCAGGGGAAGATGGGACTGTAAACACCAGACCCACCATTGCATGTGCTGTCGTCTCCCTCCCCTCCCCCTGCTCTTATCTCTGGTAGGTTGAGTAGCCACCCCAGGCCCCATATGGGGTCAGGGCAGCATTTGACAGTTGGCCCACCCTTTCCCTTCCCCCCACCCTAGGGCTAGACAGCGAATCCCTCTACAGGCCTGAGCTGCCCACCCAGCGCACAGGTGAGGGGGAGCTTCCATGGGCAGGGGTAGGGCGGGTGACCCGGGCAGTCCCAGCGACGCTGCCCCCTTGCATGCGCAGACTGGTCCCTGAGTGATGTGGAGCAGTGGGATGCGGCAGCCCTGGCGGATGGCATCAAGGGCTTCCTACTGGCTCTTCCCGCGCCTCTCGTGACGCCGGAGGCCGCGGCCGAGGCTCGCCGGACCCTGCAGGGTGAGCCCGGTGTGGAACCTGAGATGGGAAGGGAGCCGGGGCACACGGTTGCCGGCTCACCCTGCCTGGCCTTCTGTCCTCAGAGGCCGTGGGGCCTGTGGGACCGGCGCTGGAGCCCCCGATACTGCCTCTGCACCGCGCGCTCACACTGCGCTTCCTGCTGCAGCACCTGGGCCGGATGGCCCGGCGCGCCCCAGCCCCAAACCTCGCAGTGCGAGCCCTGGGCACTGCCTTCGGGCCGCTGCTGCTGCTACGCGCTCCGCCGCCTTCGCCGCCACCGCCAGGGGGCGTACCCGACGGGTGAGCAGCCGTATAATACTTGAGGGAGCGGGGCTTTATAGATGGAGGAAAGGCCAGAGGCTTGAGGGGGGTAGGTAGCAAGCTAAAGTTGCTGTGATGAGGGTGACTAGGAAGGATAACGGAGTGAACCTGGGCTCCAGGAAGGCCCCATCCCAGCAGGGCTTGGGGCCTACACCAGAGGGGAGGCAGGCACGTGGTTGGTGCCTGCACCTTCGCTTCTGCTCCCCCCACCCCCAGGTGCTGTACTCTTGTTCCGTTCTTGTATGAGCGTTTATTGAGCGCTTACAGCACGTACATAGCAGCAGTCCTGCTTGCGTCATTTGCCCTTCATCCCAGCTTTCACGTGTACCCCCCAGGTGTGCAAACACATGCAGGACCATGTGCACACCTGGGTGCAGACAGCCCTACCCAGCGCTTACTGCACTCTCCTCCTCCAGGACTGAGCCGTCCCCCGATTTCCCAGCTCTGTTGGTGGAGAAGTTGCTTCAGGAGCTCCTGGAGGAACAGGAGGTCGCGCCCCCAGGTGACCACCCCCCACCATTGTATTATCCTCTCGTTGGATGGCCATCAGTGCTGGCTCAGGGCCCCACCAGCATCAGCAGGCTGAGTTGCATTGGGAGCTGACCAAAGTAAAGAGTTGGCGCTCAATGTTTGTTTGTTTTCCTGTCCCCCAGCTCTGCCTCCTAAACCACCCAAGGCAAAGCCGGCTCCTACAGGGCTGGCCAATGAGGGGAGCCTGGCCTCCCTGCAGGATGCTGAGTGGTACTGGGGTGACATCTCCAGGTAGGGTTGTGGGGTAGGACCACATGGTGGGTAGGGCTTGAAGGGCAGAGTCTTGGGCAGCCCTAATTCTGGGTGTCCCTACAGGGAGGAGGTGAATGAGAAACTCCGGGACACACCTGATGGCACCTTCCTTGTTCGAGATGCCTCCAGCAAGATCCAGGGGGAGTACACACTGACCCTCAGGTAGGGGCCTATCCCTTGTAGGATGACAGTTGTGAGAAGTGGGAGGAGGACGCATGCAGTGTCAGGGCCAGGAGACCTGGGGGTCAGACTGGGGGTCCCACTGGGTGCTGACACCCTCTCTTATCCACCCCTAGGAAAGGCGGCAACAATAAGTTGATCAAGGTCTTCCACCGTGATGGGCACTATGGCTTCTCAGAGCCACTCACTTTCTGCTCTGTCGTGGACCTCATCACCCACTACCGCCATGAGTCACTGGCCCAGTATAATGCCAAACTGGACACGCGGCTCCTGTACCCCGTGTCCAAGTACCAGCAGGTCCGGGGCCTGGGCAGGAGCTGGGGAGGGTGGCCCTGGGCCTCAGTTTCCCAGATGGCTTTGCTGATTATACTGGGTGTCCTCAGGACCAGGTCGTCAAGGAGGACAGTGTGGAGGCGGTGGGTGCCCAGCTCAAAGTCTACCACCAGCAATACCAGGAGAAGAGCCGCGAATATGACCAACTCTACGAGGAGTACACACGTACCTCTCAGGTACCTCGGGCCTGCACACACAGGGAGGTCAAGGCACAGAGGGGCAGTGGCAAGGCCACAGGGACAGACAGTCACTTCCAGATCACAGAGCAGGCACTTGTAGCACCGGGGACTGCCCTAAAAACAGAAATAAATGTACACGGTTTAAAAACAAAAACAGATGAGAAGGTACCAACCAGCCTCCTAGGAACAGCCAGGCCAGGACTTGGGAGGTGTCTTGGTTAAGCCTATGAGTCTCTCAGGACCTGAGTTTCCCCATCTGTAAACTGGAACCATGGGTCTTAATTCCTTCTCCATCCCCTTCAACCTGGAGGTTATTCACAATGATGACAATAACCTGATGAGGGGCGAAACAGATAGTCAGGAGGTCGTGGTAAAGAACAGCATCTTCTAAAATAGGGAAGAGGAGTTTTTATCACGCTGGGCCTGTGTTAATAAACTCCTTTTGCAAGTTGAGACGCAACTTACTCAAATCGAATGTCTGTCACAGGCTAGGAATGTCTCAGTCTCCCCTGTGGTCCCCGAGGGATTTCTTTCTTGTCCCCTTTTTACCGATGTGTCAGCTGAGACTCTGGACAAGATGCCTGTCTGGGATCAGTTAGGAACATCATGACCTTGGATATGACTTAGGCCCCCTGAGCCTCAATTTCCCTGTTAATAGTTCTGACTTTGTAGCAGGCTATTGGCAGGTTTTGTGAGATGATATCTGGGAAGTGCTCAGCACAGCATCTACCTCGAGAAGGAGCCCCATGAACTGTAGCAACCCTTAACTCTCATCAAGGCTAACAAGTCCAGGTATTTGTAAGGTGCCCAAAGGTGATTATAAAGGAGGAGTAGGTTTGGGGAGTGGGGGGTTGAAGGTTGAAGAGGAGTTTGTTTGGTGCAGCAGGAGCTAGAGGAATGACATGCCTGGTAAATGGAACAGCTTGAGCGAAGTGTGTGTATTGGAATTAGGATCTGCCTTCACCCTCATGAGGGACTTGGCGGGGAGTCCCAGGAGGTGCTGAGATTCACCCCCTCCTCCAGGAACTGCAGATGAAGCGCACTGCAATCGAGGCCTTCAATGAAACCATCAAGATCTTCGAAGAACAGGGTCAGACTCAAGAGAAGTGCAGCAAGGAATATCTAGAGCGCTTCCGGCGTGAGGGCAATGAGAAAGAGATGCAGAGGTGAGTCTGACGCCTCTGCTCTGCCCTACCCCAACCTGTCTGGTGCAGTGTAAGCAGAGAAAGAAAGGAAATAAGGGGGGACAGTCAGGGGTTCCAGCAGGAGGGAGGATCAGTTAAAACGGACTTGGAAGGATTAATAGGCGTTCACCAGAAAGAGAAATCATGGAAACAGCATGTGCAAAGGCTTAGAGGCTGGCGAGCCATCCAAGGCCCCTGAGCCACTTTTCCCCCAGGATCCTCCTGAACTCAGAGCGGCTCAAGTCTCGCATCGCTGAGATCCATGAGAGCCGCACAAAGCTGGAGCAGGAGCTGCGGGCACAGGCCTTGGACAACAGGGAGATTGACAAGCGCATGAACAGCCTGAAGCCAGACCTCATGCAGCTGCGCAAGATCCGAGACCAGTACCTGGTGTAAGTGCCCTGCACCCACCTACAGCCCCATCATGAAGCCCTCAGCAAGGGCTCCCCTCCCTCCCAGACCTTAAATGCTAATGTGCACCTACTGTTTGCCAGGTACTGTGCTGAGCAACCGTGCACATATTAGCTCATTTTGTCCTCTCCAAGTCCTTTATAAAGTTTCCCCTTTCCAGCTGGAAAAACTGAGAAGCAGAACAGATAGCTGCCCTGTTGCGAAGGCCAGCAGCTCTGCGGTGCAGCCCCTAGGACTGAGCCTCTGGTGGTGATAAGACCCCACTAGGGTAGGACGTTCTGAGGGCTCAGTAAGTGTTAACAGAAACAATAAATAGGCAGTTTCCTGGCAGAGCCTGCCAGGCGGTGCCCTGGCCGCCCCCCTCCTCCCCCCACAACTGCCCTTGGCCAAGTCAAGGCTGACCCCTTGTGGCAACCGGCAGTATCACACCCAAATCTACCCTCCTAGGTCAGCCCTTTCCTCCAGCCAGGCTGGACTGGCCCCCTGTGGGTTGTCTTGCCTTTGCTGCACAACCCACCTTTCCTCTTTCTCCCAGGTGGCTCACCCAGAAAGGCGCCCGGCAGAAGAAAATCAATGAGTGGTTGGGGATCAAAAATGAGACTGAGGAGTGAGTGACTACCTGGAGTGGGGTAGGGAGGGCTTCCCAGAAGAAGGGCTGTTTTGGGTGGGATTTGAAGAATGAATTGGAGTTCATCAAGGAGGGAGTGTTGTCCAGGTGGCACGGGGGCCTCAGAGGCTGGCGGGTAAGTGACCAGGTCTTCTTCCTGCCTCCCCCATAGCCAGTATGCACTGATGGAAGATGAGGACGACCTACCCCACCATGAGGAACGCACCTGGTACGTGGGCAAGATCAACCGCACACAGGCTGAGGAAATGCTGAGTGGCAAGCGGGATGGCACCTTCCTCATCCGTGAGAGCAGCCAGCGGGGCTGCTATGCCTGCTCTGTGGTGTGAGTGCCTTGGGGGGAGGGGGGGCCACGCGTTCCTTTCAAGATCTCTTATTGAGCACCTACTATGTGCTAGGCCTTGGGAAGACAGCTGGGAGGAAGAACTCCGTGGTTGCCACAGAGAGAAGGGATTATTTGGGATGGGGGAGGAAGGTGGGACAGTGTCCTGGCTGGAAATGGCGGGTCTGGACTAGGTCAGGGTCTGGGAATTGAGGGAGCAGCTGGGAGAACCCGTGGGGGCCCACCTGACCACCCATTTGCCCACACCGCAGGGTGGACGGCGACACTAAGCACTGTGTCATCTACCGCACGGCCACCGGCTTGGGCTTTGCGGAGCCCTACAACCTGTATGGGTCCCTGAAGGAGCTGGTGCTGCACTACCAACACACCTCCCTGGTGCAGCACAACGACGCGCTCACTGTCACGCTGGCCCACCCCGTTCGTGCCCCTGGCCCTGGGCCCCCGCCTGCCGCCCACTGACCAGAACAGAGCAGAGCTGCCTGGGCCCCGGCCACTACGCCCATGGGCTCCATCTTTCTGTCTGTCTCTATCTCTTTCAGGTTCTGTCTATCTCTCTTCTTTGTGAATCTCTTTCTGTCTCAGTCTCTTTTTCTCTCTATTTCTTTGCAACTCTTTCTTTCCATTCTCTCCCCTCTCTGTTTGCTTGTCTCTGTCTCTTGCTTTCTCTGAATCTCTGTTACTCTGTCTCTTTCTATCCCCGTCTGTCTGTCCTGTCTCTCTTGGCCTCTGTCCCTCTAAGTCTCTGTTTTGGGGGGCCTGCCTCCTCCACCTTATGCCTCCTTCCGCCACAGGCATTGCCCACCCCACAGCTCTGGCTGCCCCCGCAGGTCTCCGGGGTCCCCAAAGCCCCGCCTGCCTGCACCTGCCATGTTTACGGAGGCCCCTGGGCTGCTCAGCCCCAGCCTGGGCCCCCTGATTTTTAAGCCATAGACCTGGGGTTGGGGCAGGAAGGAACTTCACTGGACTGCTTCCAGGAGCTTTGGCCTTGACATTAGGGGCCGGGCAGGACCCGCCCCACAGACCCCAACTTCCCCTTGAAATCTTGAAGTGAAACTTGTTACTGGATATCCCCACGATGGGGCTGCTACGAAGAAACTACCCCAGAAAAGAAGATTATTAAAAATAACCTCAAAAACTGGCCCCAACCAGCTCCCGCCGGCCTCCTGGGAATCGAGGCTGCCGGTACTGCTGGGGTAGGTGTGATGCACCGCTGCCCACAGCACCTCCGCTCAATACAGTTTCAAGGCTTCTCCTCGATCATGTTGGGTTTTGTTTCCTTCACTGTAAAGCTCATTTTCTCTCCTCCTTTGGGATGAGAGCCCCGGTTTTCTATGCTGCCACGGACACGACACCCTCCTGCCTGCCCGGCTAGGCTGGAAGGCAGGTTTTGTATGGTACGTTGATACTGATGTGAATATAAAACATTGAACTCGGTGGATGCTTCTGTTGTCAATGGGGCTTCTCTATGGCCACTGTGCTGGGGGCCTTGACATTCATGGGGTCACACAGAGATGGGCTTGATTTTAACTCAGGAGGCCAGTGAGGGTGACAGCCCCTGTTCCCCAGTTTAGTTGCTCATGTCCAGAGAAGTTGAGGAACCTGAGAGGCTCAAAGCCTGAGCTCTGTCCCACAACCTTACCAGCTCGAGGGACCCCACCCAGCCCAGCTCCTAACCACCACCACCACCCCCCAACCTGACTCCCTGGGATTGAGTCCCAGCACGCAAGCCACCAGCCATGCCCTCTGATGTGCAACTTCCTCATTGCCAGGTGGGGTCAATAGTCATAACTTCTCCCATGCCACCCAGAGGGGTCCTCCCTGTTCTTGATGTTCTTAGGGCCAGCCCCGCTCGGCTGACTCCTCTGACCCTTTCAACCTATCCCTGACACTCAGGCTGCCAGGTCCCAGGGAACACTGAGCTGGGTCTTCAGTGTCTTTGACCTAGACTCCTATTCACCATCCCCCACCCCTAAGGTCCCTGTCCCTTGGCCCTCTCCACACCCAAGCTGGGAGCCTTCTGCCCTTGCATCCCCAACCCATATAGCACCTGTCAGGGCCCAACATTCATGAGGTAGCCAGGGCACCAAACTGGTTCTCCTACTGGGCTCTCCAAGGAACAGGAACTGCCTGCCTGACCTCAGAGCCCCTCAGCCTTCCCTTCCCAGGCAGTGTCCCTGTCCTGTTCCCAGTCAGGAGGTACCCCATAACTGCAACCTAGATGCTCTCTCCTCTGCGGTCCTCACCCACTGCACAGGCACTCACAGAATAAAGGTGACCTCAGTCCCCTGACCCCAGCTGTTTGAACCTACGGGCAAAAGGTCACAGCCCAGGAGGCCTCTAGCCTGCACTCCACCACTAGCTGGGTTTCCTTGGGAAAGTCACCTCCCCTTTCTGATCCTCAGTTTCCTCTTACCAAGTGGGGTCAATAGTTGCTACCTAGGCCCCCAACTGAATATCTCTGAGGATCCTATGATCAAATGGGTGGGTTATGTGTATGAATCCATCTGGAATTGTAGCAATTATATTTATTGCTATTTCTTTCATCCTGCCCAGCACAGGGAGAGCACATAACTAGCTCCCAAAGCTTTGTTGCTTTGTTTTGCAGAAGCTTCAGGAAGGAAATAGATTTTGCGAAAGGTCCAAAGGGATGGTATGGGGGCTCATCCAGCCCTGTGGACTTCAGGGAAAGCTGGGCTCCCTACCTGCTGTTGAGTGTGGATGCTCAGGTTGGGGCTTCCTGAAACAGGACAGCATGGGCTGTGGTGCTGGACTCGGCTGTATTCTGGGCCACGTGTGGCCATGTCCTCCTGTGGGATCCAATCCTGTGTCCCGCCTGGCATTTGAGGTCCTGCAAAGTGTGGTGGTCTTGGTGATTCCCCCAATACCCCCAGCCTCCAAGCTTCATCCAGGCTATTCTGTCTGCTGGCACTGCTGTCTTGTGTCAGCCCCACCCGGGTTCACAGTGCCGCTGCACCACATCCACCCCCAGCCTGGGGCAATTCATCCTCTGCCTCTGAGCCCTCCATGGTGACTTCATTCCCCAAACCTTGCTCTGCTCCCATTTTACAGACTGGGAAACTGAAACTCCATCACTTGAGGTGCCCAAGTCCTGGAGCCAACCGGGTCTGGCTGCCTCTGCTGGTTTAGGTCGGTCCTACAGGCCACCCCCAAACCCACCCCCCATCCCATGGACATAGTACAGGCTTTTGGTAATTACTGCTCCAACCCCTGGATTCTGTCCCCTCAAGGGAGCACGCTGGGGGCCAGGATGCACCCCTTCCCAGCCTAGAACTGGGAGGCGGGGGGGGGGGGGAGAAGATACACCAGCTTTCCTCTCCCTACCACAGCCAGGGGTTGGGGGCCAAGGGAAGTGAGCGCCCCTCCCGCGCTGGCTTCTGCTTTCTGCACCAGCTGTGGCCAAGCCTGAGTCAACACCGCGGGACCGAGCGTCTGGGCTAGGGAGCCGGACAGGGGGCAGGGACGAGGGGCAGGCGAGCTGGGTTAGGAGTGACGTCCCGGGCCAGGCTAAGGGGACCAGGCCGGGCTGTGCAGCCCATACCCACATCCAGGCAGAGGATCGCCCCCTGTTAGTGCATGGGATTCCCAGGCTAGAGACGGGGACTAGATCACCCTGGCCACCCCAAAGGGTTCGTGGCGCGAGACCCTTTTTGTCTCCTTTGGTCTCTGTGTCTCCGTCTCTGAAGTACCTGCCTCTCGTCCTCTCCAGCCTCACATGACTGGGCGGGGCTGATTGCGAGAAAGAGTTGTGTGTTTGGAAGGGTACCTTTGAGCGGCCCGACGGCCGCGTGATTGCTGGCCCAGTACCTGGTGGTGAGGGCGGAGGCGGGTTGGAAAGAGAGACCCAGGGAGAGAAGTGCCAACACCCAGAGACGCTAGCCAGACCCTAAGGGCGTGAGCCAGGGAGGCGGGTCCAGCCTGGGGGCAGGGCCACCGCGCTGTTAAAGGCCGCTTCCTCCCCGCTGCGCTGCTCCAGCTGTCGCGCCGGTGCCCGCGCCGTGATGACTTCGTCTCCACTCCTGCCGTTCCTGCCGGTGCTGCTGCTGCTGCTACTCCAGATCCCTGCGGCCGCACACGCGTCCCCGCTGGATACACCCCGCGAGGGGACAGCCCCCTGCAAGGTATGACCCGCGACGAGGCTGACGGGTCGGCTGGGACCAGCGCCGGCCGGGTCGGCAGGCCGCTCGTCCTCTTTCCCAGACCTGGCCGAGGCTGCCCAGGGTCTGAAGGGGACGCGCCCCGTTGGTGCTAGAAACTCGCCAATTTAACCCCGGGCACTGTGGCCACACTCTCGGATTCCTTTCGCTTTCCTATCTCAGACTGAGACGCTCGGGTATTCCCACCACGTCCCCACCTGCCCCGCCCGAGAGTGCATTTAGACCAACTGTGTACATCTGGGGTGGGAATCGGGGTCTCCTCTTGGAGGTCAGGGGAAGACCAGACAAGTCGGCCCCTGGCACCGCCCCCATTAGGGTGCACTTTGGCCATGGAAGAGCTTGAGTGTTTCTTTGCGGAGCAAGCACATGCCCCAGAGGCTGAAAGACTTGCTCACAGACCTGGGTGCCTGACACCCCTCAGCTGAAGCCGGAAGTCAGCACTTATTAGGTGCCACCTCCGCAGTGGGCTTGGGTGGGGTTCACGTGGGTCTGTTGAGAGGAAGAGGAGTCAGCACCGGTGTAATGCCAAGGCTCTGGGCATGAAGTGGCAACCAGTGAGCATTCATTAGCCTCCTGTGGTATGCACCTTCCAAGAATGCAGGATTGAGGTCAAGGACCTGAAAGGTGCTTGCCCTGAGTCCTTACAACATACGGTTCCCCTGGGCCAGAGGTTTCACCTTACCTGGAGGATAGCAAGAGCTGTGTATAAATTAAGTGCCTACTGTTTGCAAGTCTCACATCTGTTTTGCCAAAAAACAGATTTAGGGATGCAGTAAATCCTCAGTCAGGAGTGTGGGACAGAGCACCTACTATTTGTGGCTACATTTCTACAAGAGAACCAGGCAGCGCTGACCTCACTTCACACCCCTTCCTCCTGTGCAGGTCGGTGACCTGTGTCCAAAGGTGCCCCTCGGGAAGTCCAACGCACCACTTGTCAATGTGAGCCTCTACTATGAGTCGCTGTGCCCTGGTTGCCGGGGTTTCCTTGTTCGAGAGCTCTTCCCGACATGGCTGATGGTCTTTGAGATCCTCAATGTCACACTGGTGCCCTATGGAAATGCCAAGGTATGCGGGCACCTGGGAAACTGAGGAATGTGGCCAGGGTTTGGGGGTACCTAGCAGGCTGCCTAGCATTCACTCCATTGCCTTGCAGGAACAGAATGTCAGTGGCAAGTGGGAGTTCACGTGCCAGCACGGGGAGGAGGAGTGCAAATTTAACAAGGTGGAGGTAAGTGGCCCTCGTGGGGGAATGGGGAGGCTGCGGATGGTAATGAAGGTGAAATCCAGGCTCAAAGGGGATTGGAACCAGCTTCGTCCCCTGCCCATGTGCCTCCACTTAATCATGACTTCATTCACTGCTTCATTAGTGGATGCCTGTGATTATTTCCAAAGTGGTCTTGGGGTGCTCTGGGTCCCCCTCATGCCCTTGCCTGCCCATCCCCACCCCCAGGCCTGCCTGTTGGACCAACTGGAGAAGAATGCGGCCTTCCTGACCATTGTCTGCTTAGAGGAATTGGATGACATGGAGGACAATCTGAAGCCAGTGAGTGACACCTCTCACTTGGGCCGGGTTGGGGGACCCTGGCCTTCCCTGCACCCAGACAGACCCAGGTTCAAGTCCTGCCCCTGACTGCCACTCTCTGTATAGCCCCAGGAAAACGCTCTTCCCCTCAAAGGCTCAATCTCTGAATTAAGGAAAGGAAGACCTAGGGAGGGTGTGTGTAAATTAGGGAGGGCTTTCTCTAGGAGGAGCCAATGAACTGGGCTCGGATGAACAGGGATATTCAGGGACACAGATGATGATCCTCCTCTGGGGTCTGGAGATGACAGGGCAGGCCTGCCTACCTCCTTGGAGAATTAGGAAAACTTCCAAAAGAGTGACTCATCTGCCCTGACTGTTTAATCATTCATCAAACATTCAGGCCACAGGAGGCCTCACTCTGAGACACCCTCAGCCCTGCAGAGCCATAGTAGGTCTGGAGAAGTGCAGAGAAGGGAGCCCTCAGGAGATGCTGAGGAAGCTGGAGGATTGGCATCCCTGGTGGAGCGAACAGCACAAATGGAAGCTCTGAGGAAAGCGTAGGGATCAGGAGCTGGTCATAGGAGAGGTGGGTCAGCTTGAGTTCCTGCCTCAGGGGCCTCCGCTCAGGTATATAGGAAGCACCTGCTGCATCGCTGTGGCCCCCAACTGTCCCCTGCTGCCAGTGAGGCATCAGAAAGTTCACTTGGGGGGCCAGTGGGGGACTATTGGGGAGATAACAGGGAGGAAGCTGAGGCTTACTGGCCCCCCTCTGCCCTCAGTGCCTGCAGCTCTATGCCCCCAAAGTGTCCCCTGACACCATCATGGACTGCGCAATGGGGGACCGTGGCATGCAGCTCTTGCACATGAATGCCCAGCTTACGGATGCTCTGCAGCCACCCCATGAGTATGTGCCTTGGGTCGTCGTCAATGGGGTAAGAACCCTTCTAGCCCTCAGCTCAGCCCCTGGACAGAGACCTGGGTGATGGATGTGCCTACCAATCTGGGAGGCAGAAGGCACTGGCCAGACTTGGGGCCATTTGCAGCCCCTTCTAGGCCAGGCAGGGGTTGGTCAGGGCAGGTGGCACTTGTGACCTCCTGTCTTGCTTTGTGCAGAAACCCTTGGAAGATATGACCCAGCTCCTAACCCTCGTGTGCCAGTTGTACGAGGTAAGCTGGACGGGCAACAGAGATATTCAGCGGGTGGGGTAGGGCCTCCTTTCAGGACCCCAACTCATGGCTGTCTCCTCCAGGGTAAAAAGCCAGATGTCTGCCCACTCATGGCCAGCTCCCACAGGGAAGTCTGCCTCAAGTGACAGCCATTGCCCTTGGAAGGAGCTGATGGAGGAAGATCGAGCCTCCACCTGCCCCCCGTTTTTCTGATCCCAGCTCAGCAGCTATGGTTTATCGTCTGAATAACTTACACATTCTGTGAAGCCCCATTAACATTTTGCCCCAAGATCAAGAATCTTGCCCTACTGACAATGGTGCTATGTTGAAACTAGTTTAATAAACCCTTCTGGATGTTGTGACATCTCTTCATTTCCCCCATTCCCCTAGTCTCTGGCAACCGCCATTCCTCTGTTTCTGAGTTTGACTATTTTAGATTCCACATATAAGTGACATCATACAGTATTTGTCCTTCTCTGTCTGATTTATTTCACTCAGCATAGTGTTCTCCAGGTTCCTCCATGTTGTCACAAATAGCAGGATTTCCTTCCTTTTTTATGGCTGAATAATATTTACCTTGTCCTTTTTGTTAAAAAGAATCTCAAAGAAAGACCTTCCTTGGCAGGCCTCATTGAGTTTGCCCTGATAATTTAAACAGGCACAGCAGGCTTTCAGTTTTCTTTGCTGGAAGTTTCTGAAGGGAATCTCCGGTTTCACTTTGAAAAGCTTCTATCAACAGAAACAAACTCATAGATACAGAGAACAAATTGATAGTTGCCAGATGGGAGGTGGATTGCAGGGGCTGGATGAAAAAAGTGAAGGGATTAAGAAGCACAAATTGGCAGTTATAAAATAGTCACGGGGATGTAAAGTGCAGCACAGGGAATACAGTCAATAATACTGTAATAACTGTATGGTGCCAGGTGGGAACTAGACTTGTCGGGATCACTTCATAAATTATAAAAATGTCTAACCACTGTGCTGTATATCTGAAACTAATATAAAATATTATCGAATGTCAACTGTAATTGAAAAAATTTTAATTAAATAAATAAAAATTTAAAAAGAAAAGCCTCTATCACTGGCTACCTTGAAGTGAGAAACTCTACCAAGTTTCACCTACAGTAGCTATGCCTCTGAGCAAATTGCTCTCTTCTTGCTATCCCCAAAATATTGTAAGGGTCTGGTGGGCCAGGACTGACTTGTAAGACTACCTGCAAGCTCGATATGAGCCAGTTTTCCTGTGAGGTGCTCTGTAAACACTGGCTCCCAAAAGTGAAACTTGGTTTCTTGAACATGGTTGTTGACAAAGTTTACCTGACTCTGTTCCATGAATCATAATTTGACTTTTCCCCCTTTTTAACCATGTTGGAGGTTTTCCATCAAGATGCAGTAAAATCTAAAGTCTGGAATACCAGGCTGAGGTACTTGACAGTAATAGGAAGTGCTAAAGGATAATTTTCCCCAAAAAAAGGTAAAGTCATGACTCATACAGATGTAAAAATGAACATGTGTTAAAAATTGTTGGGCCGGCCGAGTGGCGCATTGGTTAAGAGCTGGCTTGGGACGCCAGCTCTGAGCAGCAGGGCCTCGGTTTGGATCCCACATGAGGGCCTGTGAGGCTGCACCCTCTAAAGCTAAGATGGTGAACAACAGCTCGACCTGAAGCTGGGCTGCCATTCATCACCAGCAACGTCATAGGCTGCAGCCCCTGCTGCATGGGGCTGCCATAATCAACTGTGAGTGGCCAGCAGCCGGCATGAGCTGCCAAGAGCAGCCGTGAGCGGCGTCCAGAGGCTGGCGACCGGTCTGCCTCACCCGGGAAGAGCGCAATGATAATACCAACATGGGCCAGTGAAGCGACATCCTATACAACTAAAGAACAAAAGGACAGCAACTTGTCTGTTCCCCTTCCCTGATTCCCCAACGCTGTTCCCCTCCCCCAATTCCCCAATAAAATCTTTAAAAAAAAATTACTGTTAACTCATTAATGAGAACTGGTCAGGTGTTACCATTTCAAAGGGGATCCAAAAAACAGACAAATCAGGAATATTAAAATGAATGTGTTAAGTCAGGCAAAGAAATATAATCGCAGGGGAGTCTCCACCTGGCAGAATTTATTTGCATGTATACAGACAAAAGTTATTTTTTGCTGTTATCAGTTATAACTACAGAGTTTATAAAAGGTTCCCACAGGATCAGAATTATAAAACCCTGAAGAGTGCCCAGTAATACAGGGCAAATTTTTTGTGTGTGTGTGAAGTGCCATATAATAAATAGTTTCATTTTTGCAGGCCACAGTTTTTGTTGCAACTACTCATTGTAGTGAGAGTAAACAATACAGAAACAAATGGACATGGCCATGCTCCGATAAAGCTTTATTTAAGGACACAGAAGCTTGAATTTCATAGAATTTTCACATCCCCCAGATTATTTTGGTTTTTCTTGACCAATGAAAAAATGGAAGAAACACGCTTAGCTCGTGGGCCTCACAAAAACAGGCAGTGACAGGATTTGGCTCACGGGCTGTAGTTGCTGACACCCTGTTCCTGTAGGTAATGCATAGGTTTCCACTGAAATTCATATTTTCCCCTACAGGAACACAGGAACTAATATGGGAACATAATTATTTGTGCAGTAGCAGAGTTTCTGTGAAATAAGTTAATGCATATTATGTGCCAAGAACAGTGCCTATCATCATCATCATCATCATCATTATTATTATTATTATTATTATTCTGAAACTGAGGTCAGATGCCCAGCTAAAGTCAGGACCAAGGTCTGGACCCTGCTCTGACTGGGCTGTGCACAGGGGAACTGTAGCCCCGCCTCCACTCCTGTGAGTTTTTGTGGGATTACACTTCCACCCTGGTAGCTGTCATGGTCACAGGTCGGATTCCTCTCAGGAATTCCGCAAAATCTGGAAATCTGGAGGTCTATTTGTACAATAGTTGGTGTTCACGTAGGGTAGTCACGCAGCTGACACCTTCAGCTGGGGAAACAACCTTGAGCCACACCACCTGCCAATAAGCAACAACGAGTGGACAGAACCATAATCGCAGGAGAGATATGTGGGCCCAGGGAAATTTTCTAAAGTTGTGCATGCACATTAGTTAACAGAGCTATCCTATAGTTAACTTTTCCTCATTATCATAGTAAAAAACGCTCTCTTAAGCAGAGATTTAAGATACTAATGAGACTTGCGAGGCACTAAGTAGCATGTAAGTACACTGCGCAGGCGCAGTGTAGGACCCACCTTAACATACTTTAGGGAGGGAAAGGGAAGGGGTGGCTTCTAATCCCAAGAGCCTATAAAACAGCTGTACCTGTAAACCTGAGGGAGCCACATCCATTCTCTTTCGGAGTGTGTTCTCTTGGTGCATCAGATAGCTTTCGCTTTAATAAGCCTTGCTTCGCTCACTCTCTTGATTTCTATCCTGAGCGGGGCAAGGGCCCCTGCACCAATTAACATTCCTGGCTACCTCAGATGGGACTCCTTTTCCAGACTTTTCTGTGCTAAATATCTCACTCTTTGGACTCAGTGAGTCATTTTACCCCGGCTTCTTTGAACTTGATTTCTCCTCCTTTAATTCTTTTTTTAAAAGATTTTATTGGGGAATTGGGGGAGGGGAACAGACAAGTTGCTGTCCTTTTGTTCTTCAGTCTATTTGTGGAGGACGTTGCTTCACTAGCCCATGTTGGTATTATCATTGCGCTCTTCCCGGGTGAGGCAGATCAGTGGCCGGCCTCTGGACAGCCGCTCACGGCAGCTCTTGGCAGCTCGCACTGGCTGCTGGCCACACACAGTAGCTTATGGCAGCCCACTGCAGCAGGGGCTGCAGCCTACGCAGTCGCTGGTGACTCACAGCAGCCCAGCTCCAGGTTGAGCTGTTGTTCACCATCTTAGCTGTAGAGGGCAGTGTCACTGGCCCTCATGTGGGATCCGAACCGGG